ACAAAGTTAAGGAGCGCCGTCGCAGTGGTGTCGGAGCCACCGTCCAGCGCCACACCGCCTAATAGCAAGATTTGGTGCTCGCTCAGGTTTAGTTTATCTTCTTTATCGAGCACTTGATCCATCCAGGAGTTCTTGCTGCCCTGCTGTTGTCTTCTTTGCTTGACCAGATTGAGCTGATCAAGGTACAGCTGGTGCATCTTCTGATGAGTCTCCGTGGCCCGTGAGACCCAGTTTCCAAGCAGTCGCTGAGGTAAGTACTTCAAGAACGGATAGACGTCAATCGGAGGCAGTGCCCCTGTTTCCATGACGTGGGAGAAGTGTTCCATCGCATCGTAGAACTGGTGCATATGAGGTGTACGAACATTTGGTGTCCGACGACCGTAGACTATATTTGAGGACGTATTAGCGTGGTCTTCAGACTCTGAACGCACCTCACATACGGATACTCATGATGATGCTATTGCTGAATCTCTTCGTATGCAGTAAATAGTTCTCTGGTTCGATCACAAAGTCGCGCATCATTTGGACGGCCTCTGCATTTTGGAGCGTGACATGCTCTTTCTCGCACATCGACTCCATAAACTCCTGGTGGATCAGTTTTCGCATTTTCCGCCATTCCTGATCATAAGGCATGGTGAGCAAGTAATCCCCCTGTGTAACGAGGTTCTGTATGATATACGAGGTTGGGCGGTCACTGTACACCGCGCTTTTCTTGTCTAGAAGCTCGCGGACGAGACGACGGTCTGTGAGTACGACCATGGTGCTCGTTCCGAGCTTCAGCGAGAATATGCCACCATATTGGCGCGCCCATTCTGTGAATCTGATAGAGTTCGTAAGATCGGGTCATTGCAAGAACCTCGAGATACATACTTGAAGTGCGCCCCTTTTATCGGGATCTGGTGGATGTTTCCGATGAATGGAAGTGTGGGAGGGCCTGGTGGAATATTAGCGGGACTGAGTAGCTCGGGGATCGCTGTCTGAATATTAACCTGGAGGATAATGAGGTCCCCTGTGCCCGACGCACAGGGCCGCGTAGAGGAGCAGACCAGTTAACACGACAACGACGGAGCTGGCAATGGAAAATGCCATGGTGATGATACCCAGGAAATGTTGAGTTCTGTTAGAGATTCGACTACTTGGGCGATACCGGTCGGACAATAAATCCTTGAGAGACAAGGTCTGGGCAACACAGGAGAGAGAGACCATGAACCTATTTCAGCCTCGTCCGGGGTAATCGGGGAAGTGGGTACGGGAATATTAGCTGTGGCCAATTGGCAATCAAGGCAACCAGTGTCCCGCCTGAATTTTCAGCTGAACGAGGTGGGAACTCCAGAGACAGCAAGCATTGGCCCTTTGCTATTGTGGCCATTCAACTCCGACCTTGCGGCCTCAAGCTGGCCCTCTCCCGCACGAATTGCCATGCCAAAAAGCGGGGGAAATGACAATTACCTCCACCACGGTGTATCAAGGCATTCTCACCTCCAGCAACACTGTCGCCTAACGTCGAACTCTTCCCAACTGATATCGGACCTCTTTGAGACAGAGAGACACCAAACAACATGGCTCACACTTGGCTATCCTTTACGAAGAGCTCATCACCGCATTCTCCAACGGTCAATCGGGCATGTCAGGGCTGTAACAGGTGAGTGACCAGTGCCCGACGCCCCCTCTACACCTGAGTCTAGAACGAAGGCCTGCTAACGATCTTGCTATGCCAGAAAAAAAATCAAGTGTGAGTCCGACCGGTCCTCAGTGGGCAAAATTCAATGACGTTGGGTTCAATCCACAGGTGACATGCGGCGCCCTATCTGTGGCCTCTGCGAAAGGGTGGGCGCTACTTGTACATTTCCGGTAAGGCAAAGGTCTTCGACGTGCCGTGCCAGAGGCCCAAGGACCCGGAAAAGAGGGTCTTCACCGAGCCGTGGTAGTGGGAACGGTGAGTTTCCTCTCCCCATGGTGCATTAACGTCGAACTGACAACGCTGCCGCTACCGGTATCGACTCCAACGCAGTTGACAAAGAAGTTTCTGATTGGCACAAAGGTAGGGCCACAAAATGTGGATAGAATTCAAATCATGCATGAGACGAGACGCCATTGTTGACACAGGCGAAGGTCGATCCCCAGATCCTGTCGGCCCCGAATCAAGAACTATAGTCCAGCCCGGCTCACTGACTGGGTTGGACTGTCCACCGCCAGGCCATCTACGAGCTTTGAATCAGGATCAACCAGACCAGTGGAAGCTAGGACTTCATGCTCCCTGTCCGAAGACATTTCTACCGGAGCATTGCACCCATTTCAATGCTGATTCGACTGCCGATGGTGTGAATGCAGAAGCAAACGGGTGGCACATTCCAGACGCAGTAGCCTACGAGTTGTAAGTCTATTTCCCATGTCCGTCTGTTCAAATCGCGGTCTCTTATGACGTTAGAGTCGGACTCTTCTTTGACTATATCCAAAACTGGCTGCCGGTTCTACATCGCCCACTCTTCTACCGAAAGTATGTTGGAAGTGAGGATTTTCGCGGTCGGGTTGTGAGCAGACAGACCGTCTGTAACGATGATGCAATCCTGATCAACGGCGTGTTTGCGCTCGCAGCCCGGTTCTCCAAAGCAAGCTTCTTCTCAGATACAGATCCTGTCCTAAGAGGTAAGGTCTTTGCAGAGCGGGCGGCAGCTCTCAAAGATCTTGTCTTGAAGGGTATCGAAGAACCTTCGCTTGAACTCGTAAAGGGCTGCGTTCTGCTGGCGTTTTACAACATTACCGCTGGCCATGCTGCACCGGGGTCGTTGCTAGTAAGCGTTTGTGTCCGCTTTGCTTATGATCTTGGGCTTAACGAGACCGACGACGAGGACAAAATCATCTCGGATGCTGAGGAAGACCCAGATGTTTGGATTCGAAAAGAAGAGCTCCGGAGGCTCTGGTGGGTCATTTACGAACTCGATTGCTTCGTTTCGACGGTCTCTTGCCAGCCGTATGGGATTGAAAGAGGAGAGATCAAGGTTCTCTTACCTGTGGCTGATCATCAATGGTTCAATGGTCTTTCCATCAAGTCGTCCTATCTTATCGAACGTCCAGGTGCCATATGGAAGAGCCTTGCTGGGTCGGAGAACCAAAGCCCCCGAGCTTGGTACTTGGTCGCCAATTACCTCAAGTCTTACTTCGCCGATGACGCTCGTCAACCCAAGCGGAACACCTCGGATATGCAGGCGGCGCTCGAAATGGACCTTGCTTGTTTCAAACATGCGTTACCTGCTGGGTTTCAACTGCGGGTGATGAACGTGAATGAAAACAACTTCGGGAACGCCAATTGGGTTATCTCGACGCATTGTATGGTTCTATCGTGAGTAATGATATGATGCCCGCCTACTGCTCTTCTTACAGATGCAGGTGCGAAGCCCTTTTGGAGCGCAGACGATGGTGTCATGCTGGGCCGGAACCATCCTTGAACATTGTCCAGGAGGCCGCGACTTTCGGCAGGCACTTTTACTCTAGTCTGGTTCGGATCGCGCAAATATGGCCCCCGGAGTATATTCCATTAAACCATCCATTCATGAGTTGCTGTATGATCAACCCGTGGGACGCTCTTGCAGCACAACATGAGCCCAACTTCCAAAGCTACGAACTATCCAAGTTACTGCTAAGTCATTACTCGCGGTACTGGAGGATTGGCGGAGCCCTGCTTCGTAAGTTTGTGCCCCTTCACGGGATCGCTCATATAAGCTGATTGTCCTCGCCCTGCTAGGTCTCCTGAGCATCATCCACGAAGGCAGGGATTCAGCTATATACCAGCCTGGCTCACATGAGCGAGAGGTCATCAAGCGCTTCTCGGTCTTGTGCCCGAGCTCTTCCAAGAAGAGAAACTCAGCGGCGTTGAACCCGAGTGCGCAAACCACATATGATCCGTCCGATCCTCCAGCGGAGACCCTACCTGGCTCAGATTTCACCAACCCTGAGGACTCCGACGAGCTTAATTGGGCTCTGAATCTTTGGGATAACCTCCAAGCTTTTGACGCAGACCAGCCAGAGATGGCATTGTTTAGCATCCCGTCGGGTAATCATGTCGAGGCTGGTTCCAATGGACCAATCGATTCAGGTCCCGGCGCTCAATTGCGCACTTCAGTCTTTCCGTTTTCTCCTGACGGCTTTCCTGACGAATTTGCCACTTTATAAACACAATCAATGGAACTCACCCCGTCGAGGGAGATTTGCTTTGGAGACCGAAGCATATGGTCCTTTCTGAGCAGCGTGGTCTGACAGTCATTACAACTGTTGGCATATTTGCCAGCCCTCCCACACAACGCGATTGGCTCGGACTTGGCTTGTAGCCGCTCAAAGCTTCTCATGACAAGCTTCTTCCCTTGGCTACCTAGGTACCTTACGAGCGCCTTGGACTCATCACTTCCTCTGAACGTTAGGGCTACGCAAATTCCCCTTTTCGAAGGTCGTTCCCCGAGAGCAAGACACAGGGAAGATTCGCGAGCACCGTTGCGGCTTATGACATAGCAAAGGAGAGTCAGGATGCGACACCTCCCAGAGTCTGGGACGAGATAACAAATGTCACCGTCGCTACCACGTGATCGCTTCACCTTCTTCGCAGGGATAGCGCGACGTGGGACTAATGGGGACCGTGGCTGTTGCCCAATTAAATCACGAATACGAACTGCCGAGTCAGCTTGCCGGCGGTGATGCGCACATGGCTGCTACCCCCGCCAAGTGCCCCGCCCTAGCCCCCCCGCGAGGACCCACGAGGCTCCCAGATGAATGCCAGCCTCGCCAATAGTATCTGCGTCCCCGCCACCCCAACGGGCTCTCACCCCAGAGCCGATGCTCCAGGCCCGGCGCACAGGTCGGAATTGGGCAAAGCTTCAACAGTCGCTTGCAGGGTTCCATCCAGATGGAAGCAAACCCGCGTGCGCCACGCAGTCATCCCCGATCCGAGCATCATCTTGACGTATGTACTTATATCGGCCCCTTCCTCAGTCGCATTATCTTTTCCAGCCCTAAACAAACACCTTACCCACAACCGGCCTCCATAGCTCGCACTTCAACATGGAGATGAACTACGATGAACAGGTACGCTCCCTCAGATTAAGCGAATCCTATCAACAGACTAACCCAGATTACACAGGAGCTCTCCGCCATTGAGCGAGAGCTCAACGTCGAAATTCTGCCTGGCACGGAGGTGATGGCGGATGTTGGAACGCACCATTTCGTCAAGAGCACAGGCAAGAACCATCGAGTCTTGGTTCCGCAGCCGTCAGAGGACCCCCATGATCCCCTCAACTGGTCGACAGCATGGAAAATCTCCACCATTGTGGCGTCGAGTATGGTCAGCTTTACTCAAGGGTTCGGTCCACTCTCTCTGGCACCCATGTTTGGCGACTACATCGAGGCGTTCCATTGCTCTCTGGCAGATGCAGTGCAGTTCACCGGTGTCGCTATTCTTGTTCTTGGTTTCAGTAATTTCATTTGGTATGATCCCATAATGTCCATGAAGGAGAAATCGCCTACTCACCGCCATTTAGGGTCCCACTCAGCTCTACATTCGGCCGTCGGCCCGTGTACATTTTCTCCCAGTTGATTTGCCTGGGTTCTGCCATCTGGCGTGCCAGAGCTCAGACTTATGGCTCTTTTATGGGCGCTTGCGTGTGAGTGGTGATCCTCGACCCCAGCACAAGAACGACACTGACAAAGATGTTAGTCTGAATGGGATCGGAGCTGGTCCTGCCGAGACCATCCAGCCCGCTGTCATTGCTGATATTTTCTTCCTCCACGATCGTGGAAAGTGGAACACGCTCTACTGGGTTGTCTACATGGGATCTCTCATGGTTGCGCCCATAATCTCGGGGTCGATGGCGGAAAACGTGGGGTGGAGAAGTTTTTGGTGGTTCTACACCGCCCTGGTCGCCCTGTCGCTGATCATGGTCATTTTCATGTTCCCCGAGACGAAATGGCACCGACAGCACCCGAAGGAGGTGATCAGACACGCCATTGCAGCCCAAGAAGCCAAACCCGAAGGCGCCGAGAAACAGTCGGATGCTGTCCTTGAACAAGTGCCCACGGACAACGAACTGGCCCCTGTCGAAACCGCGGAGCGCGACCCTTGGCTCGGCCGTGGGAAACCAAGCAAAGCGCAATGGGGCCTCTACACTCCCAACCCGGACCCGGTCAGGGCTATCATCCTCGACCTTTGGGTTCCGTGGAAGCTTTTCGCCTTCCCCATTGTCGAACTGGCCGCCTTTATCGTCAGCTGGAGCTGTTCGTCGTTCTTGACTCTCAACCTGACACAGACCCAAGCCTTCGCCGCGCCACCCTACAACTTCACCACCGAGCAAATCGGCTTCACCAACTTCGCCATTCTTGTGGGTGCCATGATTGGTTTGTTTACGGCCGGTCCGCTCTCCGATTTGGTTGCCGCTCGCGCGACGGCGAGGAACAGGGGAATCCGTGAGCCCGAAATGCGTCTGCTCGCCCTGATCCCGTACGTCATCATCATGTACTTCGGAAACATCATTGTCAGCGTCGGCTATGAGAACCAATGGCCGTGGCAAGCCATTGTCATAATCGGGTACACCTGCGCCGGTATTCAGGTTGCTGCCATTCCGGGCATCGCCTCGACCTACGCTGTCGACAGCTACAAGCCCGTTGCGGGCAGCCTGTTTGTCGCCATCACCGTCAACAAGAATGTCTGGGGCTATGGTTTCAGCAAGTTTATCACGGTGAGTTCTCTCGAAAGCCCCCTTCGTTCTTCCAGGTGTTGCGTGCGCTAACCCGAGCCCCAGAACTGGATCATTGACGACGGCTATATCCCGCCAATCATGACCAATGCATCGTTGATTCTGCTGTGGTGCTTGTGTGCCATTATATTCTACTTCTACGGGAAGACCTTCCGACGATGGACAAAGAACAGCAGTGTGCATTCGATGTAAGAAACCTTCGAGGACTAGGACATTATAATGAGAGACTCTCGGGATACACTGCTCTTGATATAGCAGCAGCTCTGGGAAAGATCTCCCCGCTCTAGTAGTTCAATAAATGATCTATCCTCAGCTCTTCTCCATCTGTCAGCTCTCCTCTATCTTCGTCACAGACTCGTTATTTCCATCCCTTGGGACTTCCCATGCTGTCGCCGAATCAATGCCACGCCTATCTCTATGATGAGCGTGTTAAACCACCTTGGGTCTCTATTGCAGGGTGTTTTCCTCATCTCCGTCTTGGGCTGTTAGTAATTGGACTCTTTGAAAGTGCTTGCACACGTCGGCCTCAGAGACCGATAATTCTCTGCTCTGCGGACACAAGGCTGCCAAGGCAAGGAGCAGACGGGGCTGTCAGAGACGGAGGCAGCGGTGAGCGGCCGAGTCACGATAGAAACTCGGGACGGTAGAAAATTAGCTGTCAAGGCTGTATATATTCAAAGTAGAGCCGGGTCCGCTCGCTAGAGGGCGATCAGGGCCGCGGAAATCATTCGTATTTCTCAACGTAAAATAGCTCAAAAATCCGGCTTCGCTAGTCCGCGTTTTCGAGACCATTTCGACTTGTCTTGACTAGTTGGGGTTGAATTAATTGCCACGGTTTGCCACGTTCAACTACCTTGCTTGGCTGTGATTGATCCGAGTGTCCGCGTTATTATCCATCTCCTCGGATCTTCGGAGATGCTCATCTCGCGACCAGCGATTCATTCCGTGCCACCGTGTTTATACTTCGGAATATGCACTTTTGGCTTGGACTAATGACTTTACCCTGTGTCTGATAGGCTGGCCTGCCCATATCGGATGACACTTACGAATCTCCGTCAAGTTTCATGGGGTTTTCCTAGACATCAAAAATTCCCATTGTGTACAGGAACGGACGCTCTTCGGCGTCGTCAACTTCCAGGGTTGCTGATGTTACCGGGCGTGGCGGGCGGGCTGTGAGAACCATATCCCCTTCTGGGATATCGGTTCCTGCTCCGCCAGCGCTTGGTGAACTTAGGCATAATGCTTCAGCGCGAGACAGTCCCCAACCCTACGATGACGGAGAAATGCTTTTTTGGCAGATCCAATCTCCCGCTGCCCAACTTCGCCATTGGGGTACGTTTACACCTGGGGACATAGGGCGTCTATCCCCTGAAGCCCCGACCCCACGAAGTCTTGGTATCACCTGAGGCGCCACGATGAAAAGCTTCTTCTTGTGGATCTACGGCAGCTTTGAGCAGGGGGGAGCTGGGTAATTCTCGTGTCAGTAGCTAAGCGAACGGCTTCAGCAACGAGGGACATACCTGCCGAATACCACCAGCTTTTCACAATGTGAAGTATATAAGTGGCTGATCTCCTCAGTCCGACAGCTGTATTGGGGTTGCAGTTCCATAACCCCCAGACGAAAATGGCGAGCAAAGTGGTCCGAGGTCGAACGTTGATGGGCTGCAATCCATCCCGCCTTCTACAGCGATCTGCCGCCCTCACAGACTCAAAAGCTCTGGCAGCAACGCCCTACATAGGCCGCAAACTCTTCAACACCTCTTCGAAGCTGCAAGCTGAGGCCCTCAGCGAGCAGCAGAAGTCGATCGTGAAATCGACGGCACCGATTTTGCAAGAACATGGCCTTGCCATCACGAGCGTCTTCTACAAAAGGCTGCTAAACAATCATCCCACCCTCCGCAACATCTTCAACACTGCGCACCAAGAAACCGGTGCTCAACCGGCTGCCTTGGCACATGCCGTCTGGGCCTATGCCAACAACATCGACAACCTAGGTGCGCTGACAACCGCCGTCTCCAGAATAGGGAACAAGCACGCCAGCCTGGATATCCAGCCGGACCAATACCCGATCGTGGGCGAGGAGTTACTCGCGTCGATCAAAGAGGTGCTTGGCGAGGCTGTGACCGAAGAGATAATCGACGCATGGAAAGCGGCCTACGGCCAGCTCGCAGACATCTTCATCAACTTCGAGCGGGATCTCTACAGACAGGCCGAGAACACTACAGGCGGCTGGAATGGGTGGCGTACGTTCACGGTCGCAAAGAAGGTGTATGAGAGTGACGAGATCGTCTCCTTCTACCTCGAACCCGCCGACAAGGGACCTCTCCCTGGGTTTCAGTCGGGGCAATATGTCTCGGTGAGGGTCTTCCTCCCGGAACTCGGAGTCTACCAACCGCGGCAGTACAGCCTGTCGGACATCCCAGACGGCAAGCATTTTCGGATCTCAGTGAAGAAGGAGTCTGCCAGAGGGCCCATCCCGGCCGGCCGGATCTCGAACGTGCTGCACGAGGACGTCCCCGAGGGAGCACAGATCGATGTCAGCATGCCGCGTGGGGACTTTTTCCTGGACGTCGACGCGGACACGCCTGTAGTCTTGATCAGCGCGGGTGTCGGCATCACGCCCATGCTGTCCATGTTGGGGACCGTGATCGGGCAGAGCGAAACCCGCCCTGTCGGCTTCATCCACGCCGTCCGGTCGGGCCACGTCCACGCCATGAAAGACTACCTCTCGCGCGTGGTGGAGAAGAATCCACAGGTCAAAAAGGCCGTGTTTTATGAGCAGATCGGCGAGGCTGACAGGGAAGGGGTCGACTATGACTTCGAGGGCAGGATCGAGTTCGACAAGGTCAAAGACATTGCCCTGCTTCCGAACGCCCAATACTATCTGTGCGGGCCCATCCCATTCATGCAGCTGCAGCAACAGACACTGGAGGCTCTGGGCGTTCCGAAGGAATACATCCATTCCGAGGTCTTCGGATCAGGCGTCGCATGAGGAGAGAAGGCATGCATAGAATATAAAAACGGGAGCCCGTATGATGGTAAAAGAAAAAAAAAAAACCGGAAAAGAAAGAGAGATTGAGCGAATAATACCACGTCGGTCAGTCTTTCTCCGGAAACCCGGAATGCCCATATCGTCGACTTACCCAGATCATTGCACCGATGGCGGGGGCGATGCCAAATACTTGTCTCGAACTTGTCACCTTAATTCCATGCCCTGGTGAAGCATTGGAAACGATATACTCCAGAGCAATTAAGAGTCGTGGCATCTAGAACGCCTCTCTTGGTTGCTAACCTCTCAGCATATTGCATGTATCGTATCTCTGCTTTCGATGGGTTTGAGAGACTCAGTCGTTTGTCAAAGATGAGGAAGTGTATCATTGTACTACCATACAGTAGCAGTGGGTACACAGGTCTCCCTCTTCGGGGAAGTGTCCCAAAGATAGATTACCTATGTACAGCATATTGCAGGCCCTATTCGAAACCTCCAAGATTGTTGCTTTGCTCCAACGCAGCGAATTGAGCGTCCATTCCACGCTCAGATTGGCTAGCCATAATGGCTGGTTCGCATACCGATCTTCGTAGGACGGAGTCAAAGGCTGATTTGTTGTCTCGACATGGAAGTCCAGCTGGGCCTCTGCCCGTGATAGGGTCCCGGGCGGCTCCGCGCTCAGTGTCGGTTCTGGTACACCGATCCAAGGACATGCGGGAGGGGTCCGACCGTGGACGCCATTTCTCGTCACGTTTGTATTGTTTTCTTCTGTGCGGTGGCCTAAATGGGGTATCCTGGACGCCGAGTTCAGTATATGTCGAAGATATAGTTGTAGACTTTGTTGCAGAATCTCCAGGTGGACTGAAATCTGAGCGTCCAACGGAAGGTGATCATCCATCATTCCTAGGCGTTGCCGGACAATGGGCAATATTTCTCCAATCCTCCCAGCCGACAAAAACTGCACGAAATGACTTGCGGACTCTGAATTCGCTCCTTCAAAATCTGAGATAGCAGTTAGCGCGGCCTGTGGAAGATGAGTGGTGCTTTCTCACAAGGACTGACCGGTCGAGCCTCTGAAGCACCCGGAAAAAAGGTGTCGTATATTTCATACCAATATGCGACCTGATCCTTGCCTGGAGGATTCTTGCGGTTGAGTTTTCTTCGTTCGATCAGATCTTCAGTGATCCTCTCCCGCTCGCCCGGTACTTCGGAGGATCTAGCACCTCACAAGCGGGGTCCTCGCGCCGATGCGCAGTAAGGCTGTCATGCGAAAGAAAGTGGTTTCTGTAGCAACGTTTGCAGTAGCGACGAGGGGCGTAGTGATTGCGTTAGAGATGTTGCCTAACGCATTGTCAGTTGTGAATCCTCTCCTTTCCTTAGTGGAACCCTACTTGAGATATGCAATGTTCACGAAGGCACAAGTCGCGCATGAACGATAACGGTCATCGGGTGAGTCTTGACCAAAGACTATATTGTCATACTTATTGAACGGGCACGCAAAGAGTCGGTACTCGGAACACATTGCATCCTTTCGACGTTTAGTATATCTCACACTGCACCTTTTGCCAGCGTTTTCACCGATTTCGGTTTGTTTTCGTTTTCGTTTTCCCGATGCGTTAGATGGTGCTTGCTCTTCACTCCTACCTCCTTCAGGTGACCTTGATCCATTCGATGCTGCTCTGCCAGATTGAGGTGACCGACTTCGTAGCAGAGCATTCACATAGACCTTAAATAAAAGCCTACTAGACACTGTGATTAGTTTCTCCAGAGCTGTATCTTGAGTGTCCTCACTCCAGTCAGAGCTCGACGCGTCGGTGAGCCGTGAGTATGAACTCTCATGTGTTGTGTCAGGGTTGGATTGTGGGTATGATGTTTTGGATCGCAATATTATATGACCAGCTGTATGGCTGTCACGTCGCCCGCTTAAACCTGGAGCACCAATGGCAGGAAACTCGGACGTCTTCGTGCCTTCAAAGGTCTTTAGACCTGGCGATTCCGTAAGAGGTGGAGCACTATCCGCAGGCATACCTGGTGCCGCCGATTGTTCTTTCCGGGCGGTGTGACATTCGTCACTGGACACTAAAGTGACCGAGCGCACCATGTTGCTGGCTGCAAATGATGGTCGCATGTTAAGTTGGTTGGAAACCGGATGGTTGCTTTGCATTCCATCGGACTGGGCCGAAGAATAAGTTGTGTCTCCGTCGTCTGGCACCTCTTGCCGCTAGGCTCGTTCTCTCTCTCGTTCTTTCTCTCGTTCTTCGTACCACATGACGGACCTTTCACATGGGTCAGCGCATCGGTGCAAAATATCTGGTGGTGGAACACACTGTTCAAGTAACACGGCCACATTACCCTCGCCATGCATTCTCTTGAGGTGTCGCTTAAAGTTGTCGAAACGAATCCATTCTTTGGCGGCCTTTGTGCATCCCGGAGCGAAGAACCTGTATAATTTACTCTTGTGAGTATTGATATTGTGAACCGTTTTCAAGTGTCTGTCTAAATCATTGGCTGAGGCGAAACCCTTCGCGCTTCGCGGACAGGCATCAAAACTGCATTGGTGTTTGCGTGCATGCCGAGCAGAATGTTTCCTGTTTCATCATTAGTCCGTTACGCATGGACCAGATCGGACGAGAACACTCACTTCAGGTCCGACCTTGTTTTTGCGGAATAACCGCATTCAGAAACACTCAAGCTCCTGAACCCGTCGCAACACCGAAGGGTGGGAAGTATAGTTAAAAGGACTTTGCGGAATTGTTGATGAGTGAGAAGACGCGTGAGAAGGTAATTGAGCCAGATTGGGACTGGATATTGTGTTCAAGTTCTGTTGTTCCATGATATCGGAGCGCTATTCACTTGTAGGCTTATCTTTACTGGTATACTGAAATTTCTTAGGCTCGGTTGGATAAGGCGAGTCTTTAACCTTATTGTATTCGCAGGCAGAGGAGGAGTGATTCGAAGGTGTCGGAGTACTCAACTGTCACGGAGGCACTTCCAGTTGATTTGGGCTCGTAGTATTGAAGTATATTTATTATTGAGGCGCGCCTGGTGTGATATGCTAGATCGGATCTCCCCCTTTAGGTATCAGGTCGAGTTCTCAAATGCGAGCGTGTGATCCAAGAGACTGCAAGATAGAAAGGGTGGTCAAGGGTAGTTATATTCCATCCGTTGCAATGTTTCCTGCTTCGTAAATTGCAAGCATGATATCGCAGTGAAGCCTTCGGTGTTGAGGACTAGCAGCAGAGGAAATAGTCGTTGGGTATGTTCATATGCGCATGAGTGTGGTCGTGTCACCGGGAGATGGTGAAAACGCGAAGTTTCCTTTGGAGGCTATCCAAGCTGGTGGAAGCAAAGAGATGGCGCAGGAACAGAATGAGGCTCGAGTTCACCGCTGTGAATTCTCTCCACGCAATCACATATCAGCGCTTATGGGCAGCTGGTGCCGCCCGCGTGGGGGTTCGACGGAGCTCAGCCATTCGTCCCAGAAGTATTTATTCAACGAGGCATCGAATTCTATAATGGTTAGTAGATCGTCTGTCAGCTATTTCAACCTGTGTGAACTCGCCCCGGAATTTACATATCCTCCGGTGGCAGGAAATGAGGGGCTGTTTTAGCTGACGCTCCGAAATACATAACAAAGGGTAGACTAAGAAAGGTCAATCGTCAACGCATGCGCTCGCTACTTCTGATTCTGATTCGTGATGGGGCCATTGGATAAGGTCCATATCGAAGAACAGGAGCAGCGTCGCTTCAGCGTCGCTTTAAACGGCAGGTCTTTCTATCGTCCTGTCCGACAATTATTATAATTATTAAAACGTGTATCTCCATGACCTAGTGGGCATATACCTCGTGAGCCCTGTGGTCCCTGCAGGGAAGTGTTCACCTGTCAATGCCCAGCTGACATCGAAAGCTACGGAGCTCTCGCACCTTTTGAACAGACTTTCCCTTGGAAAGCGGCTTGTCTAGAATGTCTTGAAAAGGGCGTCTTATTGATATGGGAGCGGCGGCTGTTCAATGCTGCCGCTTCATCTAGACTGGTCTCCCAAGTATATCTTCACGATTCACCTGTTTTGACACCTGCACCATAACTCTCAAGCTGCTGCAGCGGGGATTTGAGACTCACAACGCTACTTGCGTGGCCATTTTCGAAGAGGCTGCTCCCTTTGCGCAGTAACATTTCACTCCGTACACTTGTTATTGCCCTAACCTGATTAGGAAGGTTATCCGGCTAGTTTTTACACGCCGGCAAGTCAAACTGCCGTGCGACCGTTCCCACTAGATAGAACAATCAATCAATTCATCAAGTTAGTTCTACAGGTTATGAGCGCCTAAACGCTTGATTGCGCGTTACTCAAGCGTCGTTTAGTTCATCCTAGGTTATCCTTTCCTGGCTATCTAGTAGGAATAACCTATCCTTCGTTCTGCGGGTTGTGTTATTGGTTATGCAGTAACGGTGTTCTGGTTGGAACCGTACAGGCAGTCAAACTAACAACAAATCGCGCCCACTAATCTCAGGCGATTCTATCACGGATCGGCCTATTAATCCCTCTATTATTAGATAGACTAACACCGCGGGGTGCGTGGCTGTACCTAGATCGCCGAATTAGCCTCTAGTAGAGCGTTAACCGAGCGCTAATCGGCCATAATCGGAAAATTCCTACTAATCCTCAATCATAGCCCCTACCTAGCCTATCCCACCACGAATTCCTAAGTAAATTAAAGTAGAAAAGGTAGAATAATAGATAATATAGGGGGGTCTAATAATCGTAAGAATTACTTAATCCTCTAAGGTAAGTCTAATTACGCAGTCTAGTTACTAGCCTATGAGATGGAACTCCGCGCTTAGGAGTGCTATACTACGATCTCACGACCGGTAGTTATGAATCTAGAGATACTAGATACTAAAGTAAAAGCAAAAGTAACGTCGGATTTCCTAGCGCGTAAGTAACTACGACCTAAAAAGGGTTTTGATATCCCTACGCTTAATGCGAACTATGATCAATGGCTTAGTTAAGAGATTAAGAGATTTAAGAAATGGAAGATAGTGAACTTAAAGGCATAGGGGGTGATCTATAATCTCTATGCTAATCACGTTAAACTACTTATTATACATAAGAAGACTATAAAGGATATTCTTATAAAGCTAAAATAGGCTTACGAATAGTAAGGCCTCGCGGTAGTCTATTAATAGACGATACTAGTTAATAGTTACCTATCTAAATAGTTCGTAACACTAGAAGAATACGTTAATAAACTACGCGCTAATCGATTAGGTTTTAAGGTACTTAGACATAATTTCAATAACGATTTCTAGGTGTCTATCTTTCTTAATAGATTAGGCGAAGATTATAAACTAGTGGTCTTATAGATCCTCGATATAGAGAAGAGTAAGATAGTCTTCGATAAAGCG